CGATTGAGTGTAGCCGGGAGAAGGGGCGTATGTAAAAATGATCTCATAGGTGTAGTGGTTGAAGTGAGATTAAATTTAAATCCTACAGAATGACAGATATCTTTAGTATGTTGCATGGTAAATAAAAGTGGGGGAACATGTGTAGGCTGGAGGTCAGGCCATAGAAGAGAATTTAAATGTAGTGGTGAAATCCAGAGACTTTCTATTTCTGCCCATGTACTTGGCGGATTTAAAGATGACCAGGAAGCCAAGTGGCGTAGGTGAACAGCTAAATAATGTTTGTGTATATCCGTAAACGCCAGTCCGCCCTGCGATCTAGAAGCTGTTAAAACTCTCCTAGCGACCCTTTGAGCAGCATTATCCCATGTAAATTGAAGCAATAAACGTTGTATCATTTTAAGATCCTGTATAGGGATTTTAATAGGTAATGTCCAAAAGTGGTAGAGCAGTTTTGGCAAGATCGTCATTTTAATTGATGTCATTTTACCAATCCAGGATAAACGGTGCGATCTCCATCTCAGACGAAGATCTCTAATTTCCTGGTACAAGGGAACATAATTGGTCTTGTATAGGGAGGTCATCTGGGGGGTAAGATAAATACCCAAGTATTTTAGTTTATCTATTTTCCAGTTGTATTCAAAGGAAGACTGGAGAGACAACAGTACTTTCTGGGGAATGTGGATTGGCATTGCTTCGGATTTAGTTATGTTGAGTTTGTACCCTGATATAGAAGAATAACTAGTCAGTTCCCTATGTAAATTTGGTAGTGAAATAAACGGTTTAGTCAAAGTCAGTAAAATATCGTCTGCAAAAAGTGAGAGTTTAAAAGCACGTCCTTTAACCTGTACGCCAGAGATGTCTGGAGAATTCCTAATATGGCTTGCAAATGGCTCAATACAGAGGGTAAATAACAAAGGTGATAGAGGGCAACCCTGTTGGGTACCGTTACGTATAGGGAAGAAAGAAGATAATGAAAAAGGAAGTTTGATAGCTGCGGAAGGGGTGGAATAGAGGTTCGTAATGGCATCCAGGAAGGGTCCCCGTATCCCTATATATTCTAAAGTGGAGAATAGGAATGGCCAACTAAGGCGATCGAATGCCTTTTCATCATCAAGGGTCAAAATCACAGATTCCGTATCTGAAAGATTTAGAATTTCTATGAGGTCTATCGTACGCCTTGTATTGTCTCCAGCTTGTCTGCCTAAGACAAAACCGACTTGGTCTGTATGTATCAGGGAAGGAAGAAAGGGGCTCAATCGTAATGCCAACAATTTAGAAAAGATTTTTAGATCCGAGTTCAAAAGAGCAATCGGTCTGTAGTTGGAGCAATCCAGGTGATCTTTACCAGGTTTAGGAATTATTGTGATGTAAGAGGCAAGCATAGACGTGGGGATAGGGGAGGCTTCCAGAAAGTCATTATACAATGTTAATAAGTAAGGAGTAAGAATGGTAGTAAATATCTTGTAGTACAAATAAGAAAAACTGTCTGGGCCTGGGCCTTGCCATCAGGTAAGCCTTTGATTACTAAGTTTAACTCTTCAGATAGGGCGATTAAGGAGTTGACACTCTTTTTGGGGAATATGAGGAAAAGGGTATTCAGAAAGATAGTCCATAATACGGGTTTTTAAAGTGGGGTCATCTTGATTGAATGTAGGGTCTTGTATATTATAAAGACGGGTATAATACTCATGGAAGATGGATGCCACCTTATCTGGACAGAACTGTTCAGTGCCATTTATGTCTCTGATAGAATGAATAGAATTTTGAGTCTGGTCTGCTTTAAGTTTATGAGCTAACATAGTATGAGCCTTATTGCCTCTCTCGTAAAACTTCTGTTTAGTAGAAAGCATTGATTTCTCTTCCTCTGTCATATCCAATTGTTGCAATTGTGACCTAACAGAGGATTCGTCGAAGTAAGTTAGGGGAGGGAGTAGAGGCTATTCTCCGCTGCAAGGACATAAGTTGAGCTTCCAGGGATAAACGTTGAAGCTGTGTGTCTCGTAAGCTTACTAGAAAGTGCGATACATTGAACTCGCATAACTACCTTATGTGCCTCCCATAAGGTACTAGGGAGGTCCACGGTACCTTCATTCATGAAAAAATATTCAAGCAAGGAGGTCTCTAGTTGGGATTTAGTTATTTCATTTTTAAGAAGCCATTCATTTAAACGTCAGTTATAGAATTTTACCGGAGGGGGAAACAAGCGTATCGGCAAAACTATGGGAGCATGATCGGACCATGTAATAGGGGTAATATCTGAGGAGACAGTGGCACGTAGAGCTTTATCATTAACTAAAAAAGGATCTATTCTAGTGTAGGTTTCATGGGCATTGGAATAAAAAGTAAATTGTCTATCTGTTGGATTCTGAGTTCTCCAGACATCAAACAAGGTGTATCTTTTAAGCATTAGTTGAAATTGATGTGCTAATCTTACTGCGCCCCCAGGTGTGGGGTTTGCAGCAATCCCCAATCTATCAAGAGTTGGGGACAGGAGGACATTAAAGTCACCACCAATAAACAAGTATTTGTGAGGTATAGAAGACAATTTTGAAAAAATGGTTCTCAAAAACGATATTTGTCTAGTGTTTGGTGTATATAGATTGCATAGTATGACCTGGTCTTGTCCCCATGTACCATTTATTATAATGTACCTGCCCCCCGGGTGAGTAATAACTTCTGATGGTTTAAATGGACACCCTAGTTTAAGGAGAGTCGCCACTCCAGCCCGTTTTCCTAAGGTGGAATTAGCTAAATAATAGGTCGGGAAGCGGGTTCTTAAAAAGTTAAGTGAACCCTGAGAAGAAAAATGCGTTTCTTGAAGAAATACTACGTCCGGGTCCAGGCGTTTAAGCGCTATAGAAAGTAATCCCCTCTTACGATTAGAATTTAGTCCCTTGAATTACAGTCCGGGAATTACTGTATATAGGTCCATCATTACAAAATATATAACAAGCTTACCACCTCGATAGCGTCCCAGAAAGTAAAGAGGTCTCCGAGGCCGCATCCTTGAAGAGCCACTTATATAGGGCAAAAAGACGAATTTCCCGTGAGAGAGTTTCTTCAAAGAGTAAACAAACAAGAAAGAGTAAATTATTACATATAACATTAAAAGGGGTAGAGGGGGAGGGAGGGAAAAAAAAAGAAAATGGATAAAGTAAGCACAAAAAATATATATTCTTGGCATAAACAAAATATCGTATCGAAGACTGCTATTGTCGGAGTCCGAAGAGTCCGACTCTACCCTAAGCATCCTATATATTTCTGCTAGGGTATACAAGCAGTAAAAAAGCTAAACTAATGTACTAATTCAGCTAAACTAAAACTAAACTAAGCAGGGGGGGTAGAGACTGAGGAAGTGAGTCAAGGGCAACTCTCCCTATTTCTAACTATTTAAAGTACAGTCCTATTTTATTCCCATAAAGAGGGGCCTAGTCTCCTAGGGACGTGAACAGGACCTATTAAACAAAACGGTATGATAAGATCAAAAAAGAAAAAAAAGAGATTAAGTAACAATCAATGAATTTAATTGATTAACATAGGTTATGCTACATTCTCTACTACTAAAGCTATTAATCTATCCTAGTATGTAATAATATACGTGTGGGTACATAATACATATGATGCCCAATAATCAATAAGTGGTTACACCGATGGATCAAGTATGGTCGTCTTTGACCTCATATCGAGCTCGATGTAGGTCATGGTCATGGGTGTCTCCCTTGGGACCATATCGCAAAAAGCCTCGAGATCTTCAGGGACTTTCAGTGTTGCCGATCTGCCCTCTCGTCTAGCTGTAAGGCTGAAAGGAAAGCCCCATCGATATGGAATATTGGCTTCTCGTAGTAAAGTGAGCAAAGGTTGTAAAAGTCTGCCTTGTTGTAGGGTTATCCAAGAGAGATCTGGGAACAATTGGATCTGTGACCCCTTGAACTCCAAATTTTGCGATTTGCGTGTTAACTGCATAATTTCCTCTTTAAGAGCATATGAATGAATCCTACAAACCACATCCCTAGGTTTTGTAGGCGCTCCACGAGGGCGAAATGCTCTATGGGCTCGGTCAATTTCCACAATATGCTTAGGAGGTTTGCCCAGTATATTATTGAATATGATCTGTAGGGTCTCGTGTAGATTTTCCAGTCTAGTAACTTCTGGGAGCCCCTTAATCCTGATATTATTTCTACGGCCCCTGTTGTCTAAATCTTCCATATGACGTTGCATATCTCTTATAGTAGAGCTCTGAGCAATCACCTGTAGATGTAGTGAATCTAAATCTTGTCTTGTCGCTTGAGTGTCAGTTTCAACCATCTTGACTCGGTTAGCAAGATGCTGAAAATCTTCACGAAGATCTTCTTGGATTAGGGCACGGAATTTTGTTTGGAATAAACTTAATAAAGTCCCTCCAAGTCATTGGTTATTCGTTATCAGTTTCAGATGGCACTAACGGAGGTCTCAGTTCTTGAGGATGAGTACCGATTTGAGATAATCCAGCATTAGTTATAGACCTCCTTGTCTCACTTAAGTGTAATGGTGCTCTTTCTCCATCAGGTCCTGTTTCAAACCATTGCTCGCTAGGGGCAGGTCAAGCCAGGGACATCCCAGGATCCTGGAGTATCCCTGCTAGTGTAGGAGAAGCAATAGGCATGCCTCTTACATAATTTCCCTCTATTTCTGGGCCAGTATCTTGGTTACTATGGGTCTTCATTCCCTGGTTTCTCTGCATTAGAGGGGCTATTTGTATCATAGATACCCCCCCAGAACATCTTGAGCAATGTCTATGGCGATATCTATGGCAGCAGGGGCAGAGAGAGGGAGATATTCCACGTCTGCAGTATGCAATGTTGGTAAGGATTGCCTGTCAGAAGAGGAAGCAGGTCTTTGCAAGCAACAGGAAGCCACAGAATTTCCATCTCCCCGGTATTTGCATACACAATGTGTGGGGTGTAAAATCTCCCCTGTCACTCTCTCTATATATCTCATTGTACAGGAGACGCCTTCTACTTTGTATCTGACACTCCACAAACATCAAGATGCTTTCTCACAGTTATCTGCTGGCCGTCATCTTCATTTCTATTCAGGGTGAGAGATGAGGCTCCTTCCATCATCCTCTGCACATACATCTATACATTGTACAATAAATACACACATCAGGATTGATAGGAAGATATACAGACATTTATCAATAATCAATATGTCTCTTCCCATCCTCAGGATCCTGTGGACAGATTGTGATGACTCAGACTCCGGATTCTATCTCTGTGTCCCCAGGACAGACAGTCACCATCACATGTACATCCAGTTCTTACACTGGGAATGCTATAGCCTGGTACCAACAGAAATCAGGAAAGTCTCCAACACTTCTCATATATAGTGCAACCACCCGACACACAGGAGTCCCAGGACGGTTCACTGGGAGCAGTGATGGATCTTCCTATACTCGTTACACTCTGACAATTACTGCCGTGACTGAAGATGATGAAGGAAGTTATTACTGTCAGCAGGGTGCTAGCTACCCTTTCACACAGTGATACAGAGCTGTGCATCCTCTCGCTCCAGAAGTTTAACATTAAGCGACAAGCTAATATAGGCCCGCGCTGATGCGGAATCAAAAAAAGTGCAAAGCTCCTTTACCAGAAAAGAAGCAGAGATGGAAGCACAAAAGGAAGCTCGCCACAAGGCATAGAGGTCTCAGCAAGGGATATATTTCGCTATCACAACGATCGGAGTCAGAATAAGAGCCGTACAAAAACCTCCTTCCTCTATTACACATGAAGACATTACTACATAGTGCAGCATGTTTATAGAACACTGCACAGTAATACATAATGATCAGTGTCCTATAAGGAAGACAGCAAGACTTGAAACAAACATAGAATAAGGGTCCTTTCTTGTCTGTTCTTACAGTTGTTTTGGTATCAGAACAGGTTCAGTAGCGTTTGAAGGAGATCTTTAACCCTTGGATCCATTTAAATCCCATCACTTTGGAAAGAAAATAAACTACAAATGCCCCCATTCACACAGAAGGAATATACACAGTGTGTACGAATGATTGGGTCTACAATTTTTTTTAACTACACTCCTTTGTATCCACAGATTATTATTTGGGATTTACACACACTATTGGTGGAGCAAATTCAAAGTTATAAATGCCTTTGCCTCTGTGGTCGTCAAGAGTAATTAATGCCCCAAATTCAGTGAAGAGTAATAAATGTTCCTGCTTTGGTGATCATCAGAGGAATCAGTAGGTTTCATGTCAAATATTTACTTTTCCCTGTAGTTCTATGAGTCTACTAATTTTGCCTAGAAGGGAAAGATCTGCTGACTTGCTGTTCTCGGTGCCTCCTCGTGTCTGGTTGGAAACCTCTTCCAGGGTGGTTGGCAGGAACAGGAAGTCCTGGAGATCAGAAAATGACATCATGACAGTCCTGCATGCATGCCAGAAATTATGTCATCAATGCTGGCAAGAGTTAAGAGGTGGGGCATGTTGCCATTTAGTGCATTTTTCAATAGAAAACTGACTATCTCTACTGCATAGCAGTGTAAAGCTGAATTATGTTTAGCAAGCATTTAGGACTTTGTATGATTTTCTGTACAGTGTGTATACTTACTTCCCAACTGTCACCCATTTAGAGAGACTGTCCCTCATTTGGAACCAAATCCCTCTGTCCCTCTTTACCCCCCAAAGGGTGTGACACACATTACAGAGGTCAGAGTGTGACGCATAGTGAAGAGGTCAGGGTGTGATGCAAAAGCAGAGGTCAGCAGATGTGACGCAGAATGAATAAAAACTTACAGTGCACACAGATGTGATCTGCCCTCTTTCTCTCCAAAGGTCTCACCAGGACCCGCTCCTGTAATCTCCAGCCGGCCAGGGTGATCCTGCAGTCTTCCTACTATGGCAGTTGAAGTGGGAGGAGGAAGCAGCAGGTGTTTCAGGGGTCAAAAAGAGCTTTCTTCATCGGGGGTGTGGAATATACTCTCAAAGGCGATGGCTGCGGTGACTGACAAAAGCAGCTGCTGTGGAGCATGTTAGTATATCTCTTTTGTCTGCTCCAACACCTATTTATTGAGTCCAATTTTCACCTTCTAAGCACTGCTGAAAGGGACTAATTTTTACCCCTGAAACACATTGGCCACATATGCGGATCATATCAATCTGTTTTGATAGAATAAAAACCTTTTTTTTGCGCAGAATGCCTCGACAGACCGATCACTGAAGCCGGCACACAGTAGTGACAGCTAAACAGATTCTTCTCCCCTCGACCACTCTGTGGCTGCAGCAGCTGAGGAGGAAAATAATCTGTATAGCCGTCACTACTGTGTGCCGGCTTCAGTGTTCGAGAGCGGCGATCACTCCTCTCAGCTCTCTCCTCCTGAGAAGAGTGATCGCCACGGCTGCGGCTGGTCCCCCTCTGCCTACAATGCCCGGGAGGAACCTCAGTGGGGCCTTACAACTGTCTTGGGCCCTGGGGCGGCTGCACTGGCTACACTGGTGGTAGTTCCGCCCCTGATCTCTCTATATCCAATTACCTCCAAGTACGTTTAGATAAAACAAGGAACAGATTTTTGTCCTTTTCTGTTTTTTTTAGGCCTAAATGTTATGGATCAAAAGTAAGAGTGTCAGGTCAGTGCCCATGCCACAGTTCCGGATAGGGTTATTGTGCAGAAATACTCACGAAGAAGGCGCTATGGGGTTAATACAGCGTACATAAATGCGCATTCAAAGGCACGCAATGACGCAAGTACGCTCATTACGGCCAGTGGCGCCAAAACGGCCTATTTAAGGAAACCTGGTGGACTCCTTCCCTGCTGAGTGATCTTCAGCTTTGTTCCTGCTAAACCTGATCCTGCTTCTTGACCTGTGTTGTGACCTGGCTTTCGTATTGACCATTCTTCTGGATCCTGCTTCTGTATTGCATTGTCTTCCTTCTGCTGACCTTGCCTGTTACCTGACGCCTCTTGTGCCTTCTGATTCTGTGCCTCATCTGTCCACCAGTTGCCAAACCAGACTGTCTTCACTCTGCTTCCAGATCTGCCTGGATACTGTCCTCCTCTGCTGGCCCCACACCCACTGGACTGCTATCTCTACACCCAGGTGCCAACGCCACCCATCCGGATATCAGCAGCAACACTCCTGGCACCCGTGCTGCTCCCAGCCCGTGTACCATCTGTTCCACCTTCAGGGGTTCACAGACGGGAGCCACAAGGGGAGGCCCTCGTCAATTCGGGCTCACACCAAGGTACGTGACAAAGAGAATGTAAACGGATGCACATCTGTCTGCCCATAGACTAAAATGGAACCATTAAAGTGTATATTACCCCTAAATTTTACAATGCAGGTATGTGTCTATTTTGTGTGAAACTGTAGTCTGCTGTAGTTTTATCTAGAACCCTATGGATGGATGTGCAGTGATGTGATCAGAGGCGGCTCTTTAATTAGGCAAGTTAGGTGGCTGCCGAGGGCCTCGCAGCCGCCTAACATAGTGTACAAAAGGGATTGGCAGGGATGGCGTGCCGAGTTGGGGTGGACGGGTGGCATGGAGAAATGCGCATATGCAGGATCAGAGCTCTCCTCCGCCGGCACTTCATCCTTCACATCTCCCTAGTGGGACTCCATTTCATCCCTGGCCCAGCAACGACAGCAGGAGGGGAAGAGTGCCAACACAGAGCAGCGGCGTGAGACAGAGGGAACTGGGAGGCTGCGGCGTGAGACAGAGGGAACTGGGAGGCTGCGGCGTGAGACAGAGGGAACTGGGAGACTGCGGCGTGAGACAGAGGGAACTGGGAGACTGCAGCGTGAGACAGAGGGAACTGGGAGGCTGCGGCGTGAGACAGAGGGAACCGGGAGGCTGCGGCAGACTCACCGTGGTGCAAGGGGCACATAAGATCAGGCAGCTGGAATGTGCACACAGTAAACCGGGGATCGGACACCAACACATTTTCCTTCAGTTGAGAATCCTCTTTTCAAGGTTAGTTTCTGTGCAGTATTTTAACAAAGGATAGCAGTGTTTTTCATATATCTGTGGATATCAGTATTTATGTGTTAGGCAGAGAAGTGCTTTTAAAAAGAGTAGATAGAATGTAATTTGAAGGGTTAAAATCACATGTAGTTTTAGAGCTTGTTCACACTGTCAGAACTATTGGGCCGAATCAATCAATTTCATAGGCCTAAACATGTTATTTTACAGATGTGTCTATGGGCATACTGGTGGCCATTTTTGTCTGCGTGATAGAAGGTTAACTTAAGTTCATTCTTCTTGCACAGAGACTTTCACAGAGAAGGAGCTAGGAATTTTAGCATAAATAGTCTCAGATCGTAAATTGTGGGGGTCTCAGATGCACATCAGTTAAGGATGGTGCCAGCTTGTGTAGGTCTAGATTGATGACTTTCTTGCCTCCCCAAAAGACAACTTACAGTGATTGGAATTTCTAAAGAGTTTTTTTCTTTTCTTTGCTCAATGAATAGAAGAAAGGGGCTTATTTAAAAGTTCCTTATGAAACGTTACTATTCATTGTGGTGGTAATATTAGCAATAATGTTATTATATTATTATATTATATGCAGCATCTATATGCCTACTTAATTGACTAATTTCAAGTAAAATTTGATACATGTACTTTTATAATATCCAAACTATATTCATTATATATTGTTTGAGTGTACCCATTGAAATATATTATTGTGTATTACTAAATATGGGGTTTTTATATTTTGAGTTCAAAGAATGATGTGGTACATGCCAATGTATTTTCTTTTCTTTAATGTGTTAAAAACCAATGTGTCTTGAGACTCATTACCTCAATTTTAAAGGAATTTAAGAAAGAACGTTAATTGCTTTAGGTTAGATTATCTTAAGGTTGTAAATCGTAGAAGTAGACCTAAAGTCTGACATTGTGTAATCAAGTATTGTCAAAATGTTATATTCATGACTTTCTCCAAGGGTTTAGGTTAGAGGTTATCTTTCTGCCTTATCTGTCGAAATTAGTGAAATTAAATGAAATGCTCCCAACTTTTATATAGAACACTAGTGCCCCCTGGTGGTGATTGTGAGGGAAAGGTCTATGGCAAAAAGGATATAT